TCTTGGGTCATTGGCACTTAATTAACGCTTCATATGCAGCTAGGTTTATATCTTTTATCTCGATATATCGATCGTAATAATCATCATGGCAATGAAAAATGTACAACTGTTAGTAGAATAAAAAAATGTACAAATGACAAAGAAAAAGATTTGTAAATAAATTTTGCTAAATTTTTTAATAACTATTTACAGCACCCCAAAATAGGTTCTTCAAATCAATATGTTTTAAAATATTTCTTCCAGTTAGCACAAGTCTGACACACATGCGATGCTCACGTAGAGACAATTTATTTGAAACAACATTAATCAATTTTTTTGCTTACCGGATATTATGGATGAATATAACTTAAATTTCAATTCCCTGACAATTTTTTTCATTTTCAGAAATGATTATTATAAATTTTATGTCTCGGTATTAGCCAATGATAAATACTTTCAAATATGATTGCAGTCAAAGAACGTGAGTTGCACTAGCAATTTTACATTCAAAATCTCTACCAGCGCATTCTTTATAAAAGGTGTTGTAATAAAAGGAGCAAAGTTTTTTTTATAAAAAAAAGTTCCTAATTTGACTCAAATATAAAATATAAACTATTTTTTATAAACTATTTTGATATGTTTAGAAAATATTATCTAATAAAATTTTACTAAAATAAAAAAATCTACTGCAAAGGAACATTTTTTTTAAAACTACGAATTTTGTGTCTTATCAGTTAACATCTTGCACATCTTGCACCATATCAAATTTGGGTAGCTCAATCAATGAAATGTGAATGCAAAGCGTCTGTTCCGTCCCGAATTTAAATCTTAAATTGGGGAAGAGAGTGTCATTCCAATCACATAACTTGTTTTCCACCCTAGAATTAGTCTGGATTTCGGTCCAATATACTCGATTATCCAGGAAAAAAAACACATCTTGCACTATATTTTCTAAATAACATCGAATATGAAAAATATTGCTTAAAATTTAGTCGAGCTTTCAAAATGTCTAATAGGTTTGTTAGATCAAAATGATATCATTGTTTTTAATTGCTGTATTTTTCTTTGTAATTGGATCCAATTGATCTTGTTATAATTCTTGTGATAATCCATTTTTTCATTATCAATTTAGTTTTGCAATAAGATTGTAACCATTAGTCCATGAGCCTCTAACAAATCATCTGTTTTGTTTGGATTTTTAAGCCGTAATTCATTTTATCATATTGAATTAAGAGCAAATTAATTAAATCATCTAAAAAATAAAAATATAAATATAGCGCCTAAAGAAGAAATATTTCTGTTAGGTGTTAATTAGGTAAATAATCTAAAAAGATTTGTTTATTATATTTTATTAAGAGTTAATTAGGTAAATAATCTGAAAATAATAAAATATCAATATAGTATTTAAAAATCTTTTTCAATTAACCGTTTTTATGTATTATAATACGAAACTACCTTTAACGTAAACTTTAGATCAAAATCTAAACCCAAATAAGAAAACAAAGCAAGTAAACTTTTCAAACTAAATGATGTTGTACAAAAAGTTTAAAATATTTACTAATTTACTAATTTCAATTATTTTTTACAGTTTCTAAGCAAAATCCCGTCACCTAATAACGACAGCAACTTTTTTTATTATGACATTGTCATTGATAAGAAAAAAAAATTAATTTCTATTTCCGGTGTCTGGCAAGTCTTCGAAATCACGAAAATAGCCTTTAATCTGTAAGAATAACGGTCAAACGCTAAACCCGTTCATCGTACTCGTCTACGGTAACAATTTATTTACCCGTTTACCATTTCTTTCTTTTGTTTTTTTTTCCATTTTTTAGGTAAGATTTAAAAAAAACTTAGCCATTTTTACCAAAATTAGATATTCACGTATCGATAAATAGACATACCCTTTCATTCTTCCCTTGCTTTCTCTTGGAGTTTCACGTTTTTTCAGTTCTTTGGGAGAAACAGGAGACATTCTCCCATCGAGGTTTGCATATATATATATATATGTGTGTGTGTGTGTGTGTGTATATATAATTTCTGATTTTTTTTTCAATAATTTGATTTTTTTTTTTTTCAATAATTTGATTTTGTTTCAACGGATTTCTTATGCAGTTTGGTTCTTCTGTTTTCTTCCAAAAAAAAATTCCTCCATTTGTTCAATTCAACGGGATCGAGAGATCTTCGTGGCGTCTCTGTCTCCGTCTTCAAACAGGTTCACATTTCCCCGTTTCTTATTTTTGTTCGTCGTTGATTATTATTCTTCATTAAACATTGGAATCGATCAACTTTGTGTAATGTTCTTTTTTTTTCTTGGTATGAATATAGGAACTGTTGTGATCGGCTTTGTTCCAAGATGTTGGGAGAATTCCTCACGAGATTCCTTTTGTATGTCCTAAAATCACACAAACTTTGTTCTATTTTTTTTGTTTTTGCCTGTTTTTCATATATATATATATGTATGTATATATATGCGTGTGTATATGCACATTATTGATGTGAATTTGATCTGAAAAATGACAGATTGGTTCTTGGATACACATATCCGGCGTTCGAGTGCTACAAAACGGTGGAGAAAAACAGAGTGGACATAGAGGAAATAAGATTTTGGTGTCAATATTGGTAACAAACAATCAAATCATAGCTTTTTAAAACGAAAACCAATGCATAATTACACACATATTATATATATATATATATATATATTGCATAAATTTGGAATTCAGATTCGATTTCGTTTCCTTTCCGAATGTGTGTAGGATCCTTGTGGCCCTTATCACATCGTTTGAGAGGGTAGGCGACATATTCATCTCATGGTAAAGAGCCACTTATATTTATAAAAAAAATCTTGCATTTAATTTCATGAATAACACATTTTTTTTATTTTGTTTTAAATTTGATTTTCTTGTTTATTTATTTGTAAAGGTTGCCACTGTACGGGGAAATGAAGGTGATCTTTTTCGTATATCTATGGTACCCGAAGACGAAGGTACGTATATATATATGCACTCTTTTGTCATAAAACTTTGATTTTGTTTAATTCAAATTCTAAATCAAAATTCAAATGGGCGTCACATTTTTGTTGTTTCCTCGTCTTTTATTGGGCTTTTAAAGCCTTTGTGTAGTGGAACCCTAATGTGGAAAATTAGAAGAACCAATATATACAATGTAAAAGATGATTTACATATAGATGATTGAGTTCTTAGAGATTGGTTATTTGATAATCATGATGAAAACATTTAAGGGCGTGAATTTTTTTTTCTTTTTGTTATAACCTATGGTTCTAAAGATTTAGATTTTGGCACGTGTGGTGAAACGCAGGGGACGAAACACGTGTACGGGGCGTTGTTGAGGCCATACATAGCCCAGCACGAGACAGAGATCGATAGGAAGATAATGGAGATGAAAGCAAGGGCTTGGGATTTCATCATCTTCTATTGGCAGAACTTCGCCCAAGCCGGCCAGTCTACTCTCGTCCAAGCTTTCCAATACGTCCTCGCCCAATCGGTTCGGTTCTCCACCCAACAAAACACCACTACTCCACAGGTAAAATATTGATCTATATAACTCGCGCAAATTTAAAATCCTTTTATGATTTAAATAGAAGTGAATGTTTGCGATATATTGATACGATTGAATTATAAACATCTATATATAACTAAAATTTGGATAGTTCAACCGATAATAGATGGTAAAATTCTTTTACAATTCAAGTTGAGTCTCTATTTAATTTGAAAAGGGATATTCCCAAGAATTTTTTCGATTCTTTAAAAGATGTAGTTAGTCCAAAGCCCACTAAACTTTTGAATTATAAAAAAAACATCTATAGATATACGTGTTTATATAAAAACCTATTTGCAGTATTTTGTTCATATTAAAACGATATGAATAATGTTGTTATATGTTAAATGCTAACATTTTTGTTTGGTGAATATTTGGACCAACATGACGTGGAAAACATATCCATATTGAAAATGTCAAATTGGGAACATTAATGATACCTTGGATAAGAATAAATGATTTGTTTAAGTTTTCTTATGAGATGAATTATTAAATCAATTTCTACAAATCTAATTTTATTTTGGTATCTTGTACTTAACATAGTCATAACTTGAAAAAAAAAATGTTCTTGCGATGCGACCGTTCCTTTTGCCCTTTCTTTACCCTTTTTGTCCTGCGTGCCTTTCCACCTTTGTTGACAAAGTCTTCCGAAACGTGTCCACTTTCTTCTCCTTGCAGCGATCACTAGACGCAAACGCAAACGCAAGATCGCCGTCGCAGTCGCCACCAGACACAGACACGGAACCGCAGTCGCCGCCGCCGCAGCAGCAGCGGGAGCCACGGCCGCTGAACAAAACGCTGTCCGCTCTGCGATCGCTGGAGAAGCAAACGAGCAGAGGCAAGAAGTGGCCGCCGCCTACGCCGCCGCAGACCCCCGGCCGAGACTCGCCGCGAACCTCCGCTGTCGACAGCCAATTATAAGGGGGG